AAAACAACTACTTATAACTAGTAATAAGAAATCTGCGATACATAATCTAAATAAAATTAGCGTCCTCCTCTCTTCTACGTTGCCGTGCCCTACAGGGTCCATACTGTACTATATTATTATGTAACACCTTGTAAACATATGGAGTGCAATAAACGTATTGAGTATTGAGTATTGAGTATTACCTCTAATTACATTGTGTGATTCATAACAAAATTGGTTATAAATAGGTGATAGATAGATGATAGATCCATTGTATTATCCGTGAAGTTAGGTATGCGCGCGTATAGTTTAACACCTAAATTATAAATTGCCTGTTCCGCTCCTATTTTTTTTAGTCAATGAATATTGGAACCTTTTCTATATTACGGTATCTGAGACTTTCGAATTGATCGCGAATCATTCTGCGCAGCTAAGCGGCAGTGAACGGTCTCCTGGCAAAATAAAGTTGGTGTAAAACTAATACGGACTAACGGACACGTGTAAGTACTAAGTCTTAATTTATTTATAGACAGAATAGATAGGTTTAGTGTTTGTCTGTATTACTATTTAGATTTACATCTTCCTGCAAGTGCGAAAGATGTACGAATGTTTGTTAGGTAGGTACTCTTTCAAGCTATTGCAAAGATCTTTATGAAAATAGGTGCTGGGATAGACAGATGATAGTCTGGGATTTCGTTTTATTTTTAACATAAAACACTTTATGTTCATACCGAAGAACTTTATTAAGTTGGCATTTTCTATCAATAAACCGCAGATATTATTCTTTTCATTTAACTATTATGGGTCGGCTCGAACGGAGTGATACCATGGCCTCATACAAAACCGACATGAAACAACATTTGTGTTGTTTTTCGTCGTGTGAGTGAGGTTTACCGGAGATCCAATTACCCTAACCCCCGAATCCCCAACAATCCTCAAATTCCTCATCCCCAAAAGGTCGGTAACGCATTTGTAACACCTCTGGTGTTTCGGGTGTCCATGGGCGGCACCGATTGCTTACCATCAGGTCGTCCTTCTGCTCGTTTACCGGCTTATTTCATAAAAAAAATATTGTGCCTTAAGAAGCCGTAGTAATAATAGGACCCTAGGCTTAAAGGCTAAGATCAACCTAGAACTCGTGCTATCGTTACCTTTGCTTGTCTGTATAAAAAAGTATTTCCAAAGTTGACCGACGTTGTCAAATTATACCTTACTTAAATTGAGACCATAAGTATGGAGAAACCAATCTTTAGTACACAAGTTAAGCGGACACATTCTCAGATTATATCTAAATGCAACAACTCAGTGGCTGTTCTGCCAATTGCGGCTCTTCGTCATATCCCAGGGGTAATTATTTACCCATTAATAGTTAACACAGAATCATTTTTAAGTACATTTAAGAAATGTAAACGAGATAGGTTGGACGAGTAGATAAGAACAGAATAACATTGCATTGAATCTAGGTCTTGTAGATTTCGAAATTAACCTACTTGTTACATAGACGATTAGATGGATACCTAAACAATGTTACGATTAATTGTTCTTTAGGTACCTAGGTACGTACCTACTAGTCGATAATTATACTCATTTGTGTGTAAGTCGAGCGTCTAGTGAGACTGCACAGTTGGCGCAGTATCTGGACAACTGGCCGCCGCGTGCAATGGGTTCGATTCCCGTACGGAGCAACTCTTTGTGTGATCCAAAAATTGTTGTTTCCGGTCCGGGTGTCATGTGTATGTGAAATTGTAGATATATTTGTAAATGCACAGACACAGGAAAAACTTAGAGTGGGGCAGCGTTGTATAAAAAAAACCTTTATATGTTGATGCAGCATGGATCGCTGGGTCGGCAAGACAGCTGTGGTCACTGGTGCGAGTTCAGGCATTGGATCAGGCATTGCTGTGGGCTTTGCCAACGCTGGGATCAATGTCATCGGCCTTGCAAGGAGAACTGAACCAATTGAGGTAAGATTTAGAGTTTATTTTTCGTCTTGATTGAAGGCTTATGAAGACAAGACATTACTATGTTTATTTTATTTGCTTTTCTTTTTCTTTTTTTTTATTTACATTGTTTTTATCCAACTAGGTGTTAAAGAGCCAAGTGACTGGTTCAGGTAGTATAACAGCTCATCATTGCGACGTATCGAGTGCTGAAGATGTGGCTGCCACGTTCAAGTGGATTGATGAGACCTTCGGCTGCGTCCACATACTGGTCAACAACGCTGGTATCTTCGTTACTGGTGGGATTACAGGTAACTACTTATATCGAAGGACTGTTTCGTGTCTTTCTTTCATTTCTGATCTGTAGTTGACTTGGTTCTATATTGCTTCTACATTATTTTTCTACATTAATTATGCTATTATAAACTGAGGGCTCGTTCTTTGGCTACAGGTAGGGTTCTTTGGCTACACGTAGGTACTTGCGGCCACTAGGTATACCAGTGTAACAATGTGTATGACTGCACGGTTGGCGCGGTGGCTGGGCAACTGGCTGCCGCGCAACGTGTCGCGGGTTCGATTCCCGCACGGAACAACTCTTTGAGTGATCCACAGATTGTTGTTCCGGGTCTGGGTGTCATGTGTATGTGAACTTGTATGTTTGTAAACGCACCCACGACACAGGAGAAAATCCTAGTGTGGGGCAACGTTTAAAAAAAAAAAAAAATATGTTCTATATAATTATAGACGCGGGTGACGACATGATAAGTGAGAAGGACATCATAGCGATCCTCGACACAAACTTGAAAGGTACAATATTATGTGCCAGGCACGCCATCGCGTCAATGAGGAGCAACAACTTCGACGGACATGTGATCAACATTAACAGGTATATTTATTAACTGGTTTTAAATGATGTCCCAAATGATTGGAATTTTCGCATTTTGTTTAATTTGTTGCCATAATAACGGTTGTTACGCCTTTTATCGTATTCTGCCGTTATAAGTATAGATAATAATATACATGTTTACCAATATTTGGTTGGTTTATAAGTTTGATTGGCTCTTCGTTTCGTAGCATACCTTTACCTTTTTTTTTAACAAGAAATGAAGCAACGCAAATAGCTAAATAAAGGAGGCAGAAATCGCTGGAAAACACTTTTGTAAATAGTACAGTCTAAATGCAAACTGTTTTTGAAAATGTAACAATATCTTACCTAAGTACTTAATTTGATATTGTTAAATTATTTCCTGTCTAAAATAAGTGGTAATACGTCGTGTCTGACGTTTTAACTGTGCTATAAAGGCTATAAGTTATATTTTCAATGACACAGACTTTCAGAACTGTATTTAACACGGAACTTAAATACAACAATAAGTAGTATCTACCTATATCCGCAATTTGCAATTTATTTCGCTATTTTTATTGACAAAGCACAATTCAATTTTGCGGTCAGCGCAGGCGAGTCAATGACATCGTATGTCAATAATTTGCTCAAATCTAAGATGGCGCATTTTGCGTGTTTCCAGTATTGCAGGCCATTACGTGCCGATGTCGTCTAAGTTCAACGTGTACACCAGCTCCAAGTATGGAGTCACCGGCTTTACTGCCGGGCTGCTGAACGAGCTGGCGGACCATAAGAATAAAATCAAAGTTACTGTAAGTCGAACAACTAAGGTATACCTACATCCGGGCATCCGGCACCAGCCATCAGGAGTCAAGGGGATGCACCTAAACCTTATAATAAAAGAAAAAAAAATCCTAGCTAACAATGACGAAAGTTGTATTGGTATTATTGCAGAATTAGACCTTGTATTTATGGTGCAGCTTTGGAGCTCTCAATAGGGTAAATGACTAATTTTTATTTTAATGTCGGTCTGGTAAAACATTACACGTATTTTTTATTTTTTTACAGAAACTAGTACTTTCGACGATGTATTGATTTGAAATGTCGCGTGACGTCACTTCTATGTATATTTTATACGTAGATATGACGTTTTAGCCCCCACTCCTAAAATTTGACTCGTTATATCTAAGTATCATTTTATTATATAACAAAAAAAAAATACGTGTCTAATATTTTTTCATTACCTAAGTGACGGACCAATTAGATTTTTAATTTTCATACCCTGTCATCATCCCTATTATTATATCAGCTCTCGTCTTCTCATATAGTTTTTTTGTGTATTTACGTAATATTAGGTATGTGCAGTGTGTCATGTGCTCCGTTAAATTAATTCAATTTCTTTCTTTTTCGTTTCCTCAGAGTGTATCCCCTGGCTTGGTAGACACGAGCCTGAACGTGGTGGCTGCCAGCACGACGGACATGCCTGCGCTGCGCCCAAAAGACATTGCCGACGCGTGTCTCTACGTACTCTCTACACCACCCACCGTCAATGTTAGTATGACTTCAATTTCTTTATACGTATTATGTTCGATGGTCTTACTTAGTGGTTCTAAGAACGAATGTGAAGGCGGTTTAGGATCCACTTCTATACATTGGGTACCTATGCTTTTTGTTTCAATCCATAAGTATTAAAATTCTCAATTCTCAATAAATAGGTAAAGCATAGACAAGGAATGTTTAATTGGGTACTTTCCTTAATCAAAAATAAATTATTTCGACTATTCAATACAATAAAGTAAGAAAATATAATCACACTGTAATTAATTGATTTCATAACCAATTTAATTTTAGTATTTTTCCAGCAAATATTTAAGGAATAAATCCAGCAAATAAATGTGTTTGACGCTAAAAAATTTACGGCACAATACACAATATCGTACAAAATATTTTTGACACTTTGAAAAAAGTATTGAATTTGACTAGTTGGCAAGTACCCAATTTAGCGATTGTGTGTCAATGTGGGACTGTGGTCTTTTACTTCCACTACTTTCTAGGGGACAAGACGGAAACAACCAAAAGTAAATTAAAAACTATTTTTTTATTTACAGATAAACGAGCTCACAATAACACCAGTTACTGAGAGGAGGTTGTGAATAAATAAGTGTTTTTACTAGAAATATGGCACCGCACTAGGATATTAAGACTTAAGACTAGTACGACGAATTTGCGAAGGCCGATGAAGCGATGCCCATCATACTGGTGGCGAATTGAAGAATGGACCGGAGTATATTCATTTTGAGCGTCCAAAATGGGGACGCTGGTGGCTGCGTAGTAGATTCCGTTTGCACCTATGAACAAAAAAAATACAATTGACATAAGTAAAAAGTTTTGTTGCACGGTTGGCGGTGTTGATGATCTGCGATCTGTATAGTTTTGGCAGGTTAAAACTGGAAAGCAACACATTGGTGTAAAAAAGTTGATAAGGAAAAGAAACGAGTGTAAAAGACAGCGATATTTATCATCTTTTTGTAAAGCCTTTATGTGCGTAGTCACAGTATTTTTAATACAATGTAAAATAATATTATACAGTATTTTTTACAATATATCATTTATATTATGTTTATAAGAGCACTTTGCACATTTATACTTACATTGATCACCTGAAATGGAATCAAAATAAATTATTATTTTAAAGCAAAATTGTTTTATTTCCTAGTTATATTTTAGTTACCTAAAAATAAGTTCATTGTCAATAGTTGTTTATTTTCTACATACAGTTACACACATTCGACTATCCTACACAGAAAAGACCTCTATTGTCACTGGATATTAACATTTCGCTATTATTCAAACATCTTCCCTAAATATTAAGGATTTCGTTTCTATCGCCAACTGCTTCCAGAACTTGTTTTCGACATTTCTCCGAGTAGCCCCATCAGTAGGCTTGCAAAGAAACCAGCTGAGTCCGCCATCTTGGGACCATTGTTTTCAGAAGATCCTGAAGCATCAGGATCACCAGCCTACAATGTTATTACTAATTTAGTAACACTTTCCATTATATGTGTCCACATATTTGATGAGTTTAGGATGATTCTTACCGCACTCGTCCCCTTTATTAATGTGGACAAGAATTTGCCAAAGAATGCGCCGTTGTTTTGCTGAAAGACAAAATAGAAATGAAAAAAATCCTTTTTCGATTCTCAATTTCAATTTTATTATAGATACAAAGACTTACCGCCCCACCTCCTGTGATAGTGTCCAGTGACGTCAGAAGATAACGTCCGATTATTTCTCCAGGATTCTGATTCCCTTCAGACTAAAAATTTACGTAAATTAAGACTCCTATATTCAGAAAAATAACCATTATTGATTCGTTAAATCGACACTTACCAGCAAGCCAACTAAAAGACCCAACGCAGTTGCTATTAAAGCATTTATATCAACACCATCTCCCTGAAAATTCTTATAAGTTAGTATCTAATTGGATATGACTTGGTCCATATAAATTATTCTTTTCTTCAAAACTTACGCTCAAATTGGCGACGATTCCACCCACAGTCGCTAATAAAGTTCCCAAATCCGAATCACCGTCCTGTTGAAAATTTTTAATTAGGGCTTAAAGCTGACATTAAATTTACTTATTTCTATTTCTTTTAGACTTACGCCACTAAGTCCAGCAAGGAGTCCTAGTATTCCACCTCCCTGACCATCTCCTTCAGGTGGCTCATCATAATCTGAGTCATTATCATCATCATCATTATCGCCTGCGCTGTCACCATTAGAAGCAGAATCTTGTTTAGAACCTCCATTCTCATTACTCTCTTTCTCCACACTCTCCTCTCCTCCATTGTCTTCGTCAGAACCTTCAGAGTCACTGTCATTCTCATCATCATCAGAGTCATCAAGTTCTTCAAGCTTTTGAAACAGTGGAGGTTTTATATCTGTATAGTCGATATCTATAACATTATCTGCGAGGTCCTTACGTCTTTGTACCAGCTTAATTTGATTACGGTTTATACGTATCAAGTCTTGTATTAATTTTTTTACAATTATGTTGTTATTTTTTACCTGGAAGTTTAACTTTTGTTTACTATTTTTAATTTTACTCTGTACAGTAAATATTTATTTAAGTTAATGTGCAAAAATATAAAAACTATTGAACTTACCTTGAATGTAAAGTGTATATCGGTGCAAAAATCCAGTACCAGTGCATCACAACTTGTTTCAATAAACCACCATCCAGGTGCGCGGCACAAATCGAAAGTAAAAGCCTTGACTGTGTGCGTCAACTTAACAAATCAGGCAGTGAATGACAAAAAGTGCAAGGATTCATAAAAGGTTTGTGTACACGTGCATTTATTTTTTTTGTAGTGACGCCCGAGACTAGGAGACTTATATATAGGAGATCCGAAGTTAAAAATCCCTAATTAAATTAATCGAGGGAATATTTTAGAAAAAGTCTTCTATATAACTAATAACTTATATATTTATAACAATATAAATACTTAAATACAACGACCCACCCATCAGTAACGCCCGTGCGGATTTATTGAGGTAGCATAATGATAAAGAATAACAAAAAAATCTGTGCAGCCCGTCAAGAAAACGAAGAAGGAAAATATTGCATAAGATTTGGCATATCGATATAGTGAATATGAATTTATGAAAGGAGCACTTACGGTGTTAGTATTGCCACCCGAGGATCCTGACCCGGACGCTGGCATGAGAGACGTGGCGAGGTTCAACAAACTAAATAAGTTGCTACCACCGCCACCAGTTGAAGTTCCATGGCTTGATGTTCCAAAGTCATCGTCATCGTCGTCATCGTCGTCATCGTTGTTGGGGCTTAATGAAACTGTCGTTGAGCTGGATGTAGAAGCTTTAATTGGAGCTACGTCCTCGCTCTGCAAAGGAAATTTGAGTTTATATTTCGTTGAATGTTTCAACTTCAGATGCCGATGGCATTCTTAGTTTAGAGGTAACTAGGTACCTACTATTTACTTTATAGTAGCACCTGGTAGTTACATGAGCTCCTAAGGTACAATCTGAATGTAACAACTAAAAGACTCCAAAAAACTATACTGGTGGATTCCAAACCAAAATGATAAAAATCTCTTAATTGGAATTTTATGTAGTTAAAACAAAATACACAAGACAAGCGAAAAATGTTTAAAACAAAATAAATGAACTTACAATTTCGGAATTGTTGCTATCTTCAGGGATCCTCCTTCTTCGTAGGCCAACAGCTGGCACGCAGAATGCGTTAGAAAATAAGGAAATTGTCAAAATAACTGCAAACCTACAGCGCACCATTTTTATTGAACTTCACAGTGACACACTGAAATAACAACGACGATGTAACTTTACAAATAACATCACAGATTCATAGCCCATTAAATATATACCTGAAATCGAAGGACAAGAATGCTGTAGTACCAGTCGCAATTATATCGTAATTAGTACATAGATTTGTGAATTTAATGACTATTTTCACTAATGATAATGAAGATGGTGGAATTTTATTACGCAATATTTAACATTTTGTGAGTACCTAACATGTTGCCAGAAAGGTGAGTTCCATTTTACACTAAGTACTTACCTTGTAATAATTTAGCAGTATTGTACTTGCATTCCGAAAACTAAACACTGAAACTTGCATAAAACGGTGATATAGAAGAAATAAATTATATAATAATATCATGCATGCATAAATAAGTACGTTTATCACTGTATAATAATATGTTTTATGAATTACTATGATACTTTTTTAAGAAATTCAATGAAATAAGAATCACGGTACCTTTTGACTAGATGTGGTCGAAACAGTAAACATTCGCTTATTGGTCTGTTGCACGACGTAAGGAATAACTTTATAACAAAACTTGGTTCCTGTCGGTAGATACAGGCTGATAGTATTGAGGCTATCGCTTTGCTTAAAATTATTCTCTGTATTTGTGCCTGTGTTTTGATTGTTTTGTGATTACATCTTTACCAATTAATCAATATCCGTACCTATCTGAAAACGATGTGAATCTGAATTCTTACGAAAAACTGAAAGGTAGACAAATTTAACAATACATATATAACATAGGTATGTTCCATTTGTGGTGAGGTTACTTCTGTTCTACGTTAAGGGATAACACAATATATTTTAAAAATGTCTAGAAAGTGACGGTCTCTTTTGTCTTTTGTAAATGACTAGTTAATATGATAATACATAGCAGCTCAGGGTACCTTCAAATGTATTTTTTTTAGGTTAAAACGTAAACGTTTTATTTTTCGACGCCGTAATGAGTATATTTAATACTTTACGTTGTTGAAATATAATATACCTATATAACACGAAATTATTTTATTTGTAATCATCTCAGAAAAAGCGAGTATATTATCTGAAACCAAAGAAAAACAGCCTGTACATGAAGGCGTGGAACGTCGCCCAGTCGAAGGTCCAATCGCACATCGACATTGTCACGGTGCGCTTGCGCCACTCGAGTTACCAAACGATGGCCCTCCGTAACCACACACCACACGTGGAGTACATGGACACTTCCTCACATCTCGTTTCCTTTGTAATCTATTCTTACACATCGCACCAATCATTGTTGCTATTTGTCTTTATTGTGAAATTGAGATAATAGCTAACAAGACTATAATACGACAAAGTTGTTAGCTATTTGAGATTTATTATATTTCCTAACAACTATGTGCTCATCCACAATATATTTATACAGTATAAATATATGTATGAAGCATCAACAGGCCTATTACTGGGTTTTTAAAAATCTCAGTAGTAGCACAGAGTCTGGAAATTTGCCCGGTATATGGCAATAGGCTCACCCTCTATAACATGGGACTCATAACATAAATAGTGAAAAGTGGGTGTAATATTGTATAGTGGCATAAAGTGCCGTAATGTGCACCTTTACCTACCCTTTCGGGGATAAAAAGGCGTGATGTTATGTTGTCAGCTATTTGAGATTTATTATATTTCCTTACAACTATGTGCTCATCTACAATATATGTATGTATACAGTATAAGTATATGTATGAGGCATCACCAGGAGGTCGATTGATTTAAAATAAGGCTCTACAGACCTCTACATGTTGTATGAGTCACCTCTCAAGATTCTATTTCATATGGGAAAATCGATGTTCGAAGATGTCACGAGCCTATCCTAGACCAAAAATCACTCTCAAATCTCATCTCATTTACCATAGATGTGGCCCAACAGGGCCGATGCCGATTCGGAGTCGCGGAGAACCTAACGGGTTACCGGGGCTCCGGCTCGACGTGCAGGAGAAGGAACGGTGTGGTTTTTAGTCAGTAAGAGTCTGACACTCCCTCCTGCCTCACCCAGGCGGGAGCAGACATTCGTTATTTTCTCCCCTTTAAAATTTAATCTCATCTCATTACATCACTCATAACATCATCTGTCAGCAAATATACATCTTAACTGAGTACAATCATAAGTCAGATAGTCAATTCCGAGCTATCATCAATCGCTGTAAATTGTCATGCTGAAACTGTGTCCATTGCTGAACAGTATATCACACAGGAAGGATATAATAAGATAAAGATTAAGAATAAAATCAATACCTTTATTTTCTAGTATGTCCACATAATTACAAAGTAATCAACAAAATATTCGCAAGTCGATTGTATGTATAATATAATGAACAAAACCATTCGAACTACATATTTACAACACATTATTAAATTAATTACATATTAGGGAAGTACATTAGGGAACAATGGCGTTATAATGCTTAGATGAAATTAGGTAATACCGTAATTTAGAATTCCATAACAGTTTTTACTGTTATTCATTAACTCATCGAGTACCGGTTTTGTAGACACAATTATAGAACAATAGGTTGCGGTCACCGGTGACCGCTTGGTGTTTGACAGTTTAATGCTGTGAGTTATTTAATATAATGACACTAAATTGATTATAAAATATGGGGCAGGTGACTTAATGCGACACCAGCGCCTCTAGCTACGCGAGAACTCATTACAATACGAACTCAACAATAAAGTAAATCATGATTACTCTAAAATAATATAATCTACGTAATTTACCTAAAAATTTGACTAGGATTCACAATTAAAGCGTAAAAAAGTGACATTTTAATATAAGATTAATATTACAACATTATTTCATAAATACATATACTATTATACAAGATATAACAAATTGATATTGGATTACTATCTTCTGCCAGTACGTTCTGCATTCCCGTGGGATATAGTAGCTTATGTGTTATTCCAGACTCCAGACCATACTCTACCCCTGGTCCAAATTTTATCCCAATCCATTCAGCCGTTTCCACGTGATTAAATAACAAACATACACACAGACAAACAAGATTCTATTTGGCTATCTTATTAGTCAAATGACCACAAACATGACTGTAACAGTGGATATCTTGTTTGATTTCCTAGTAAAATGTTACAAGGTTTAAGTGACGTTGGAGGGAAGTGGCCTCGTTCTGTAAGACTGATGTCTCAAAAAGAGGCTGCTGAGCGGGATCGTGAGAGGACCGATCCTACTTGTAGAGGGCGTCGAGGAGGCAACCACTTTCGACGCCTAAAACGCCGAATCCCGCCTGCATGAAATTCAGGGGACTCTTGGGGCCACGGGTGCATAGGGTGGGGAGCCTAGGTGCCCATCCAGTGGTCTCGGGAGAGACGGTGGTACAGTGGTCACGTGTCACCGTGCACAGTGAGGTTCCAGGGAGATGTCCGTCTCTCTAGGGATGTGTCGGAACAGGCGTTGCACTATCCGGAGCAGATCTCTTTTAGAGGATCCGACCCCTTACAGGTGTTGAGAGTGGCCACCGATTTTAGTGAGATGCAAATCCCACACTCCCTAGTCTTTCTCTCCAAAAAGCTTTTGAAGGTTTCCCCCGTCATAAAAAGATTCAGTGGCGTAGCATGCTTTAGCGGGGCTCTGTATAAAAAATTGTTACTGAAACAATTGCTTAATTGTTATTATTAACAGGGAAATAAATAATTGTAAGCAAATTTTACTGGCTGCCATTTCTGAAATCGGAGGGTACATTAAAATCTACATAATTGCCAATTTTTAACACTCCCGGATCTTTCCACGCAACGCCCATATTCTATTTTGAACGCATGTTCTGTGCAGGAGAAAGAATTGCTTATTTTGACTTTTGTGATTTCAGAATTGAAATTAAAAATTGTAAAGTTTAAATTAATTTTTGCCTTCGCACGTTGGGGGCCTCAATGATCCGAGGCCCAGTATAATTGATACAGCAGATACGATGCTAGCTACACCTCTGTAGTAGGTTTTTACAATTCTTTGTGATAACACAGTAGTAAAGTGTTCAAATCACTTTTCCTTTTGTATTAACCACCCATGAATTGTGGTAATTATCACAAACAGTGCATAAGTATCTTCTCCACGCTTTGTGTTATTTTAATCGTGACACCGATATATAACGATAACTATATATATAACATTTTTAGTATGGCAGTGACAAGATTAATTACAATTACGTATACTATGTATAAATGCAATTATGAATGAATACAACCACATCAGCTCCATTCATAACGATTAAGTGAGTACTTAATTCTGTGTCTATAATTCTGTATAAAATATGTAAGTTAAGCTACATAGTACAATATTAAAGAATTAAATAAGTACACATCAACGTCTCTCACCGATAAATTAATATTTAGTAATAAATGACTAGCTTCAAATGTTAAAAGTGTTAATTTTATGAAAAACCAAACATTCACAACTGTAGCTCTTTGTTTAATTTTTCATTACATACTCTTTGTCTACAACCTTCTCAAAATATTAACTGCGAAAGTCACTGGCCATATACATATAATTCAAAGTCTAAACAGACCTTATTTTATTCCAAATTCAAAATATCTCAAGTCAGGTACTAGTTGTTTTTTTATTCCGTGCCGACGGAGGCGTCTGACCGTGGAGGTCGCAGTCTATCTAACAATGGTATGGCGACTCCTACAAGTTCGTCCCACGCGGCTAGTCGACGGCAGGGCTCACACCAGCACTCCTCCACATCTCCCTCTTCAAATCCCAAATCCTCACCGGTGACGTCACCTGTTTCTAGACTGTTCTTGCGACTGATCTGTTTTGAAGTTGAATCGTAACAAGATGGGTCACATTCTGAGGCATAGTTGTTGTTCTCCAAGTCGAACGTTACCTGACACAGAAATTCATAGATTTTTGAAACGTTTTTTAATCGACAACATTAATTAGATTGTACAGATAACAAAAAAAAAAATAAAAAAAATAATACGATGATTGTTTTTTGTAGAACCTTAAAATTTGTCAAAATTCTTGTCAAAAGTTAATTATCGTTGTCATTAAATTAAAAATCAACTTATTTTCTAGTCAATAATAGTTACTCACGTGGTGTTTTGTAACATTTCGATCAATTTCTTGTTCTCCCAGCTTATCCGCTTCGCAAGCAGCAAATACAGATTCATCATCTATAAGAAAGATAAAAACAAAATAGAAATATTGAAAATTACAAAAAGAGAAGTTTGACCCCGACGTGATTTGAACACGCAACCTTCTGATCTGGAGTCAGACGCGCTACCGTTGCGCCACGGAGTCACATGAGAGACAGGTTGAAATAGCGATACTGTATACACCGCTATCATTACATGAATGATAAGTTATCAATGATAGAAGTAGATACTATTTCTAACACTGATAGTGTAGTCTATGTTAAGGTTACTGTATTACTACATACATACAAATAGCTATAGTACATAATTATATGTATAATATTGATTATAAATATTATTTACTAAGTAAGGACCTACTATTCTATCGAATGGTATGTGAATTTATGTAATAAAGTATATTCGAAGTATTTATTATAAATTTTTTGTTTCAATTTTCATAAAAATATTATTAAAAAACGGGAAACTCGAATTGCTGGTAAAAGCTTTAAGAGACTATCTATATCTCAGTGTTATATGGCAAATAGTAGCGATTGTAAAACTTATTGCTATTAATATGCACAAAGGGTTCTTCTGTTTTGACAATGTTGTTGTTTGTGTTTGTGCTTATTATATTACAAATGTTTTATGGACTTTAAATTGAAAATGACAATTTTGTTAAATGGTATATGTGATAGCTACAATTCCACATTGTAGATTTTAGCTGGTCTATGCAGTAATCGAACCCGCGACTCGTTGCATAGTAATCAGACAGTCACTGTACCACTAAAGTCAAAGTCAAGTCAAAATCATTTATTTCAAACCAGGAAGGCACTTTTGAACGTCAACAACACAAATTTAGAACAACAAAGCAGTCATAGTGTAGTCAAGTCTTTTGCCTGTTTTATACGGATGTACTTATTGTAATAATTATTTTTATGTAGTTTTAAAATAATAAGTAAATTGTTTAGTTACCACACTCAAAAAATGTAGTTTAAAGTTTTTATAGAACAAAATTATTGAACGGTGAAATAAATGTTCTATACATATCTGTTACAAGACGTGCTTTGTTTTATAGCAATATACAGTATACTGCATAAATTCAATATATGATTGCTCATAAACCTCACACCAGAGTTCTCTCAGACCATTCTATATGTATGAGAGAGGTGAACAATTACGCACAGAGCTCACGAAAAGATACGCCAATAATTAACACTCACCTATAAAAACAGCGAGTGCTTCAGAGACAGCATGCGCGTGTATAGGCGAGAGCGGGTAGGGGTCATGCGCGTGCGCGTTCCAGAGCGCGCGCGCCAGTAGCGGCGCCGGCTTGGCGTCAGTGCGCGCGGCCGCGGCGGCCAGCGCGCGCGCCGCCAGCGCCGCGGCCGCCGCGCACTGCGCGCCCGCGCCGCACACGTTCACCAGCACGCCCGCCGCCGCGCACCGCACGCCGCCCTCCTCTACATACATCATCTACATCTACTCCTTGCTTGACTACTAATCAAGAACTCTCTCAAGAAGGGGAAGAAAATTTCTCAGTACTAACACGAAATCTGGAATTGCGCTCGGTATAAAGTCAAAGCATTTATTTCAATTAAACCATAACTTGGTACTTTTGAAACGTCAACAAATACAAAATAAATAATAGTCTGTCAGTCAGTCCGTCAGTGAAGCTAGGTGAAGCTAGGTGCTCTTTCCAAAACGTAGATTCGAATGGAGAAGAACGAGCAAGAAACTCCATTCGTTACTCTTTTTAAAGTTTAAAAAAGTATGTTCTACAATGTCTCTGATACATATTCCAATACTATACGTATATGTGAGAACAATTTAAAGACACGATTGACGCATTATACAAAATATAAAACTTACTAAAATATTTGGTAATACGTTCATCGTTCATCACTTATTACATGGGGCTCGTAAAATAACTGTATATAGATATATAGCTATGCGCATCTCTATCTACCCTATCAGTGATAGAAAGCGAATCAATATAAAAAAATTAGAATTTTGGATCTATAAAATGGTTCATTCCACCACTAATCTTACAAAATTCAAATCCACTAATCTTTGTAAGCACTTACCGTGATTGAGGAAGGGTTCGAGTCTGTCGAGTGCCCCCTCGAGCACTATGAGCTGCGCGGTGCGCGTGGCGCGCGACACGTTGCCCAGGGCGCGCACCGCCTCGCACGACGCCGGGCCCGACCCGCGCAGCCAACGACATGTCGCTGCATTACACACATTGGACACGTTTATTTTTTCATTATTTCCACATATACCTCTAAAATTATGCAGAATGAGAATAGATAGAATAGATAGATAATCGGTAAATGAGACATCTCTTCTTTTTTCCATACGTAGTGCATACGTAACGTAAGCATAGCCACAGCTACGTGGTGTGGCGAAGCCACATGTAGCACATGTGTATGTGTAGCCACACTAAGCGTCAGCCACACGTAGCGTGTGTGTAGCAGTACGTAGCGTCAGCGTAGCCACAGCTACGTAGTGTCAGCCACACGTAGCGTGTGTGTAGCAGTACGTAGCGTCAGCGTAGCCACAGCTACGTAGTGTCAGCCACACGTAGCGTGTGTGTAGCAGTACGTAGCGTCAGCGTAGCCACAGCTACGTAGTGTCAGCCACACGTAGCGTGTGTGTAGCAGTACGTAGCGTCAGCGTAGCCACAGCTACGTAGTGTCAGCCACACGTAGCGTGTGTGTAGCAGTACGTAGCGTCAGCGTAGCCACAGCTACGTAGTGTCAGCCACACGTAGCGTGTGTGTAGCAGTACGTAGCGTCAGCGTAGCCACAGCTACGTAGTGTCAGCCACACGTAGCGTGTGTGTAGCGGCACGAAGCGTTAGCGTATCCATAGTTACGGAGAATATGTAGTGTTTTGTAGACACAATTATAGAACAATAGGTTGCGGTCACCGGTGACCGCTTGGTGTTTGACAGTTTAAACAGGATAAATAACGAATACCTAGATAGACATTCATAGGTTTACCTTTGCATATATTGTCGAAAGGTACGTGGAGTGGGTCTGGTGGGTCTGGCGGCTCGCGGTAGAAGGTCATATTGTTGAGCGTGGCCAGCGCCGCCGTCGCCAACTCCTCGGCGCGTTCCACTGGTGGCATATTTTCAGGTATTGATTTGTCCTGTAAAAATGAAATAAATAAATAAATAATTTTAGTAAATGTTTGGTGAATCAACAATTGTTTTTGAAAATGATCATAAGTTTACTAACCGTATTTGTTATAATCCTCTCAGCAAGTTGTAGACATGCGAGCAGAGAGTTGACTATCCGCTCTGCGTATATATCCGCCAGACCTCTGCCCACGCGCTCCGCCAGACACAAATTTGCAACAACACGTACAGTCTACCAAATTAAATCATACATTGAGTCTCCTTCGATATTGCTTTTATACGATGTAGATATGTTTTTCAAAGTAATATAATACAAACCTTGATAAGAACATCTTCATTTGAACCATCTGATCCGCCTAAATCGGAACCTAGAACAACATTGAAAAATAGACTTTATCTTCAATTGCATAAGATTTAGTTTCACATGTTTATGTCTACTGTTCAGAAGTTGACTCACCAACTAAGTGTAGATCTGGGTCTGCCTCGACGTCTGGCAGATCTTGCGGGTTCTTCTTCGTGTATGACTCCAATATTGTAAGTAAAACATCTATCGCACCGTCTTCGTTATAAATCTAGAAGGATGTTACGAAAGACATAAATTTAATATAACCCTAGTTCAATCTTTAAGGAGACAAAAATCTCTTCTTTCTTTGACTAATAAACAGTGTATCATAGAAGTCCGTTAATTGCAGTTGAAAATTGATTTCTGAAGGGTCATTGAAGAAGTATTCGCTACTGATCTCACATGGTATTTGTCTAATCGTATTTAATTAATCTGTAAAAACGATTGGAGTAGCTCATGTATTCGTTATGCAGGAAAAAATGAGCAGAGTAGGCATAACTTTAGTGAGTAAAGTGGGATTGTGAACGTGTAATCATTAATTTTAAGATGGAAAACCATTTCATTTACGGACGAAATTAATAATGAAAATATTTAAAAAAATCTATTATTTAAAAGATCTCAATCTCTAATCTGTACATATTTGTAAGTAAAACTCAATACCTAAATACTGAAAAGTTTATTCTGAACGGATTCTTTTAAGAACACAGTGTGCTCGTCAAACTTCCCACCAGAATCGCACATTACCACGGATCGATTTTCGACATTAGTTATATGGATTTTCTGTCAAAAATCTTAATCCACAGATTTGGGATTGAGATAGATCATTAAATTTTTTCATTATTTTGAATATTGAAAAAATGAACTGCAAATATATCCTCACATCGTTCCTGGCGCGCTCGTCGGCGGCGGCCATGTTCCCGAGCGTGTACGCGAGCCGCACGGCGAGCGGGGCGCGCGGCGCGCACGCGGCCAGCG